TCAAAATGATAAAGTCTAAATTATTCTTATGGAAAGTCAGATGACTAAGATAAAACATCCTATCCACCAAGCCAATAATTGTTCCGATCTTGTGTTGAATAGAATGAAAAGACAAATAGTTTAGGTACCGACCAGAAAACATTGGTTTATGATACCAGTCGAAAATAATTGTGTTATTACGTATTAAAAGAGTGGTGTCTAAAAAGTTAATACTGTTATCTCCTATTTCAATTGTGAACTGCAGTCGAGGATGAAACGAATTAAATATACGCAATATGTTATCTAAAAACTCCTTAGGAGCTGCTAAAAGAATATCGTCAACATATCTAAAATAAAAAGACAATGTCACCAGAATCATGTTAATAGCTCTTTCTTCCAAATCCTGAAGAACTAGGTTCGCAATAATAGGGGACAATGGGAAGCCCATAGGACTACCAAAAGTTTGTTTATAAGTTTTGTTATTAAAAGTAAAAAATGAATCAAGAACAAATTCCAAAGCCAACATAAACTCGTTGCGAGGAATTCCAATAGAATCGCCAATATAATGCCAACGTTTGTCAACCGAAGTTAATGCTAGATCAAGAGGAATATTAGTAAATAAAGAGATAGCATCCAGAGAAATCAGTTTATGATGTTCCTCGAAATGTCTAAATGAAAGATTGTTAACTAAGTCAAAGCTATTGTTAATTTTACTTTTAGCGGGGGGAATTTTTCGGTAAATAATTTTATGCAAAAAAACTGCAAGATTATAAAGGGGACTATTAATAGAAGAAATAATTATTCTCAATGGGTGTCCCTCCTTATGTATTTTAGGTAACCCATAAGCCCTTGGAAGATTCCCCTCACCGGATTTTAAGAATCTATAAATGGCATTATTGATGTAATTTTTAACTTTCCATCTAGTTAAGATGACATGAAGATCTCTAAAAAGTTCTTTAGTCGGATCATATTTAACCCTTTGATAAGTGTTGACGTCATCAAGCTGACTCAACATTGTTTCCATGTACGAATCCCTATCAATCGCAACCGTGACATTACCTTTATCAGCCATAGTAAAAAGGAGATTATGGTTCAACTTACAGAACGTCTTAGCTTCCTGAGTGGCCTTTAAAATAAATTCATACTTAGACTGGCAAAGCGGAATATGATTATAAATTCCACGTAAGACAGGTACCACTCGGCTTCTAACAATCTCCTTCTCTTCCCTATTGAGTTTACAAATGTTCGACTCAATTTGTTTTATTATTTTTTAAGTTACGTAGCAGCAATTGAATGTGTCAATTGGGCAGTTATCCCAATAAAAAGATAATAAAATTACAAAACTATGATATGACTATAATAACATATTTGTTACATAAGTTTTTACTTCTAAGTTATATGATTTTTAAATTTTATTTCTAAGTTACAACAGCGAGAGAGACTGAGGCTGTCGATTGGACTACCTCTACTAAGACTTTTATCAGGACTTGCAAACATATTAAGTAAATACGTTTGGTTTACACAAATACTAGTGACTAAACGTTGTCACACTTTTTATGCTTGTGTCCCTTGATAATTTTGATCGTATATATCGGGTATAGGTAGTATATTATAGATCACCATTTGTCTGTTAGACGTAGTCCTTGTTTAAACTTCAAAATCGTTGTTTAAACTTCAAAAATCAAGTGGCAAACAGTCATAAAAAATCAAAAGACTTTTATCAGGACTTGCAAAACATATTGAGAAATTAATGACAACTTTTAGTACGGGTAGTACAATTAGACGCGATAAGTCTAAATTCAATAACATATTTCCAGCATAGAAGTAAGGCGAGTTTCTTCTCGCGTAAAGCGCGCACTTTTGGCGCGGGTGCCAGTCAAGTGATTAAGTAATGTCTTAAGATGCGAGTACGGCTCTGATTCATGACATCTTAAGACAGTACTTAAGATGACCTTAAATATAAGATCGGACTATGAATACCGGCCAATGAGTTTTGAATCATTATTAGCTTAGTTTTATCGCTTAGATTTATCGCGGGTACGCTTAATCTTATGTTTTTGACATCAAGGAATCCGAATTTTATGTCAAAATTAAAGAATTTTTAAACCATAATGCATTATCGTCTGTTTAATACGCACGGAAAATTCTTCCTTTTACATTGATTTAAGAACTAAGATTATACATACTTTTATAATATTGTTTGTTAAGTCAAATTAATAATAATGAACATTTCCAAAACATATAAACGTAGTTAACCTTCGCGCATTTGCTGGTAATGTGAATCACGACTCCGGAGTATAATCTTAGTTCTTAAATCAATGTAAAAGAAAGAATTTTCCGTGCGTGTTAAACAGACGATAGTACATCGGGATTTGAAAATTCTTTAATTTTGACATAAAATTTGAATTCCTTGATATCGAAAACATAAGATTAGTAACTTTTTAAATTCAATAATATATTTCCAGCGCAGAAGTAAGGCGAGTTTCTTCTCGCATAAAGCGCGCGACTTTTGGCGCGCGTTTCAGTGAAGTGGTTAAGACGGTCTTGAAATAAGATTCGACTATGAATACCGGTCATTGACAAGCGCGTTTTGCTTTCATTAATCAGCTGAACGTCTATATCGGGGACACGACTGTCATTTGATTCGCTTGGGGTCCCGGAGAAATTATGGAAATGCAGCAGATTGGAAAGCAAAGGCGCGTAGTGGGAAAATTTCGAACAAATCCGGATTATTCGGACCCTTTGCACTCCCTCGAGATCGTAGATGATGATTTAGGTAGATTAGATAGCTATAATTTAGTTTGCTGCAATTTAAAATATCATGAAAAATCGATAATCGACGGGAATAAAGAATTTGCGGAGAGTATCGAAATTTTTTAGAAAACACAAAAATAGCTTAACTCTCTATTGCCCAAATTAATTTCTTATGTTTAAAAAATTTGTCTTAAAATGTTTAAAACTAAAGTACTTGATATACATAAGATGAAATTTTACTTTTTTGATTTTTTTATTTTCCCAAAATAGGTTTGTGATTCTGAGGTCACGTTAAGCAGTTACTATCGGTGCCAACATATAAAAAAAAAGACAGTCACATTATGTCTTTCACGTCATATTGATCAAGAAACAACATTTATATTGGAGATAAATAATGATGAAACTGGATTGTGACTTCAGAATCACAGTGGATAGTAGAGAGTTAATGCGCAAACGAAAAAATTAGTAGATCAAACGTCGAATCAGTATGTAACCATTACAGTATTTTTTCGAAGAGTTATTATAAGCAAAGTAATTTTTTACTCGCTGCTGTCGATCACGAGTCCACATTTTCGTTTTCCAAATTCATTCATCCAGCATTTCCTGATGGCTCTTTCACTTTCCACGATCTCTTCTGTATTTGCAATGAACTTGACACGACCTAATAGCTCTTTGTCGTGACGTAACAATCGCATTTATCTGCGAAAGTGAACGCCTGTAATCGTTATTATAGAGATAGGTCGGTCGAGGCAGACAGCGTCGTAGAAAAAGTGAATGGGGGAAACTATTAGCATTCCTCTTCCTACACGGACATAATCCTTTTTATAAATATGTTAATGTTATCTGACGCAACCAATGTTATCGCGAAATATAAAGGCAGGCTCAATGCAGACGCGTCGTCAGTGTTGAAAGGGGTAGCAGAGGCGTGCGAATACGTGAGGAAGAATACGTTTTCTTAACCAGTTTGGTGTATTCGTTCGAAGCAAAGAGATAGAGAGAGACACAGCGATAATATTGATACATACATATACATAAAACGCGAGCGCTTTTCGAGTGCTCGGCTGTTACGTTCCGTAAGCTTCTTTAGCTGTCGTTTTGTATCGATTTTAATTCTCTCTCGGTTAATTGCGTGATTGTGCCGAGGGAAATAACTGCTGGCAACGAGCGTGCGTGATAACACCTGTGCGCGCGCTAATCGACGATCGATCGGTCGATCCTCGTGGTCGAGTAGCTTAACGTAGGTTGGGAAAAGTCCAAAATGGATTATTCCTACTTCAAGACGGAAGTGTCCAAGCGCAGGCGACCTGCCACGACACGGGAGTTGAGTAAGAATGCAACACTTCCCTTCATTGTCATTCATGCGCTTGAGTCGCGGTATTAATGAGAAATGCATCAGTTGTTAATTCCAGCCGTTTGCTTTTAATCCGCAAAAATTTGCCGACATCTATGTGCCGATGTGTCAGCCGTATATCGCGATCATTAACCGTGTGGTGACTGGCAGAATTTCGAGGTTTTCGAAGTTTTGTTAAAATGAAATTGAAAAATTAGTCGTAATACGGCGGAACGTTGAAAATGCGGATGGCGAATATATTTTGGATTAAACTTGAATACTTTTCGTTCTCACTTATATTTCGAGCCACAAATGCGCAATATCATTTAAAGGGTGGCCGATAATTGTAAACTTTTCACACACAGAAAACCATCATTTCGCTGCTAAAAATAACGAATCAGTTCACTTTCTTTCTTTCTTTTAAGTAACGGTTATTTTCAACAAAGAATATTTTCTTCATAATAATCTTAAAATATATTAATCACAAATATTAAAAAAGCTTCTTATTATAAACCCAAAAGAAACAATTTTTGGACAAATTTGGACAGTTTACAATACTATGGTATTTACGATACAATGGTATTCTGCTTATAAACTACTTGTGTACACCTCATGTTTAAAACTTTAATAGTTCTCAATACTAAAAAATTATTCTATTCTCTGCTAAGAAAAACAATTACTCAGTTTACTTTCCTTCATTTAAGTAATGATTATTTTCAACAAAAAATACTCTCTTGATAATAGTCTTAAAATATACTCATCACAAATTTGAGGAAAGGTTATTATCAAAACTTGAAATGCACTTTAATTAGTTGAATGCAATATGTTTTTTCTGTATGCATGCTTATGCGAATACGTGAGGAAGAATACGTTTTCTTAACCAGTTTGGTGTATTCATTCGAAGCAAAGAGATAGAGAGAGACACAGCGATAATATTGATACATACATATACATAAAACACGAGCGCTTTTCGAGTGCTCGGCTGTTACGTTCCGTAAGCTTCTTTAGCTGTCGTTTTGTATCGATTTTAATTGTTTCTTTTGCTTTCTTTTTTTATTTTTATAATGCCTTATTAATTCGTTATATTTACTGGCCATAATATGTTATATTTTTATCATTACGTGCTCAAAGGAATTTTTATTTCAAGGATGTATAAAAGAACTATCTATTTATCTTTGATTACACCACACAGGGAAAAATATCATTCTACTGCAGTTTACTTTTTTTTTCTCAAGTAACGATTATCTTTAACAAAGAATATTTTCTGGACACTAGTTTTGAAACATATTCATTACAAATTTTGAAAAAAAACTTCTAATCGTGTACTCATCAGAAGAATTTATTCTCTTTACAAGAATATTACAAAATTTTGTCAAAAAGAAAGTTGGTTCGATTCTATGTAGCAAGCGTATTTCTCTAGTACCGGATTTCTCTTTTTATTTAATATTTTTGATATGCTAAACTTGCTAGGATTTAGAATGTATTTTGAGTAAATTCGGTGCTAGATTACGATTTTGTGATAAATTCACGAGTAAACCCATAAAATACCTGAAAATACTTGAAATACTTAAAATATTTGAAAAAAGAAACATTCATTTGAATCCAGTGTGTCTCTTTCTATCGAACCAACTTTCTTTTCGACTAAATTTTATAATATTCTTGTAAATAGAATAAATTCTTCTGATGAGTACACGATTAGAAGTTTTTTCAAAATTTGTAATGAATATGTTTCAAAACTAGTGTCGAGAAAATATTCTTTGTTAAAGATAATTACTTGAGAAAAGGAAAGTAAACTGCAGTAGAATGATATTTTTCCTTATGTGTAGTGTAATCAAAGATAAATAGATAATTCTTGTATACTGACAAACTTGATAAAAGTCACATATACAATTACTCATAGATATACACTGAGAGAAAAATTATCTTAAAATTAACAAATATTTCCTTGGTGGGTGCCATTAACATATTTACTTAAATGTACATTCTCTTTACTTAAATCAAATATTGTTTATTTAAATCAAGAAAACAATACTTGATTTAAGTAAAGAGAATGTAGATTTAAGTAAATATGTTAATGGCACCCACCAAGGAAATATTTGTTGATTTTAAGAAAATTTTTTTCTCAGTGTACAGGCTGTCACACCGGCAGAAAATCATCGACTAGATTGCTGACGACGCGCGATGAATTTCCTTTATCTTTGTTTCAGCGAAATTAGCGTATTCTTCGCCGAAAAACACCGTCTCCCTGGCGGAAGGGATGCCCAACGAAAAAACGTTTCCGTTCACAGAAATCTCGATTAAACTCTATGACGGCACGTCCTTTACCCTCAACGAGAAAGAATTAGCCACCGCTCTCCAGTATTTACCGACGCAGGGCTACCCTCCCCTTGTGCAGGTAGAGAAATCAATCTTGTCACGTTATTTATCTCGAAATATTGCACGCGTTATGCTGCTTGGGCTGCGTGAATCTCAAAGTAACGACGTGTGAACGCTCAAATTCAACTTTCCGAACGAAACAGTTCGAGATTTGTGCCTTCGGGCGAGTAGAAATTTGTCGCGACGCGAGAACAGCGTATAAAAACGGAATGAAAGTAAGACGACAAGGAAGAGAACGCGTCAATTGATATCGGTAAATTCTAAAAGTGTGACTGAATTATACGATAAGGTTCCGATGATATCGTATATTCGCGTTTGCGAAGGGATAGATACGCCAGAAACGTCGATAGATAAATGTACGTTGATATAATCGACCGTGTCGTTACATCCGCATTCTTTGCTCGTTCGAGATAAGGGAGTCGCCTACAATGTGTCTAACAACGTCGGACGCCAAATTGATTTCAGACCCTCCGGGAATTCCAGAGAAGGGCACACGCGCCACCCTTATGGGAGAGCCGCGACATAGTCGTCGTTTCGGGGGCTCAGGACGGTCTCAGCAAGGTTCTGGAGGCCGTAATCGGCACTGGTGATCCAATTTTGGTGCCCGACCCCTTCTACCCCGGCGTCGAAGTTGTGGTTAGTAGATACAGATACGACTTTCATTAGTGAGAGAGAAATTTGAGAAGAAGCGCGTCACGTGACGTCACACGGCCGGATTATCTGTGGGAACGATTAGTTAATTTAACGTTAAATGCAGGTTGGTCAACCAATGAAATTGATGAAGAGATTGTTCGTCCCGTGACGAAAAACATCAATGTCAAGGAATTCATTTCTTTCCCGCGTTTCTTTCCCTTTGCTTTACCGCATTATTCTCACTGCGAATTGCGCAGTTCGCAAATAAGCGTTCGAAAACGAAGGACTCCTCGCGGACTAAGCAATAAATTGTGATTCTTATCTAATTTAAAGCGGTTCTTATCTCACGAATTTTCATTTCATTTTCATCGTAACTGTAGAGTCGCTCGGTGTTATCGACTATTAAAGAACATGAAACAAAGATGTCTTGTCGAAGTTTTATCAAGGAATCCCTGAATGAGACATTATTTTATACGCCATTTATGTAGATATAACAGAATTACAATTTTTTAAATTGGAACTACCAAAATAGTATCGAAATGACTTGTAATTACTTGTAATTACTTGTAAAAGTTACTCAAATTTATAGTAGCGTATTTTATTTTTTTCATTGATGTTGGATAAAATAAAAATGTCAATGTTGGACAATTAAAATTTTTTTGACTAAAATAATCAATTATCAAAATTAATCAATCATATATAAAATCATATATAAAATCACAAATAATTTCATCGGTTGATGAAATTAATTACTATAACTAAACTTCAATGTGAATAATAATTCATTTCATCAATCTATTGATATATAATTATTTGTAATTTTATACGCGGTGATCAATTTTGATTATCGACTTGCTGATTCTTTTAGTCAGCGAACATTTTCATGGTAAATTACATCGGTTAATACTCAACGTTAAAAAAAATAAATAACACTTTCTCCCCTTGCATTAGATGTTCTTTTCAAAACTCTATCATTGGTCTGGTAGGACGTCAATCGTTGGTAATTAAACAACTATTTGGCGTAACTTTATCTTCGACTTTTTCGCTAATGAATTTATTTTCCCAGGAGAAAAATAAGGAAGACCGGGGCCTTATATTTTAGAATTTCGAAATTACAACTACTCAGACAGCTAATTATTATGACTGACTGTATAAACATGACAGAGGCAACTTTCTTCTACATATTAATGCCCACCACGACCTTGTTCATCCTATATTTTGTTTTGTAATAATCAAAATATGAACATGCAATAACATAGCCATTTTGCTATGATACCGGATTCAATGCTTAATAGTGCAGGATAAAAAAGACTGCATATAAAATATGTATCCTGATTACTAAATACAGAGTCTCCGCGAGAGATCAGTCTTCTGCTGGTCCTTAATTATGAGCTAACTTTATTTCGTCCGTCCATATGCTCTATTTCAATCATTTTATGAATGAAAATTGCATTTATTACTAGAAACAGTACATCACACACTTGCAAGAAATTTTATTCTAGCTAGTAACACATCGCTTAATTTTATTCAGTTTACAATGGAGAATATTAATAGAAAATTTCGAGAGGCTCGAAGTTCTACTTTGCTATTATTAAATCAGTTTTCTCTACTTCTTAACTGTAATATTATTTTGATTTTAATGAAACTTAGAGAAAAATATTTATGTTCTAAAAAAACCATGTCCCCATTTTGTACCTATTATTCCTCTTCAGATAAATGCTAAAAAAATATAAGCAAAATGTTCATGGGCCCCGGTCTCTTTTATCGGAAGACGTATGTATATCTCTACAAATTAATATTTTGTTTTAACTACGATAACGTCGTTTGATTCTGACCAAGGTTGCGCCTCATCAAGCGGAGATCATAGCAATCCCTGAAGACGACGATGGTCCTATCCCGGAAATACTTAGGGAGACCCTGAGGAACCGAAAGCTGTCCGGCGAGAAAATGCCGAAGATAATGTACATAAATCCCACGGGCTCGAACCCGACTGGCATCATTATACCTTTGGAGAGACGAAAGGAGATCTACAGTTTAGCCTGCGAATACAACTTCTTGATTCTCGACGACGATCCTTATTACTTCATGCATTTCGATAAGGTGAGAGCAGAAACTATTCTTCTGTTTGCGTCATGCAATAAATTCTGTTTACGGACGTGTCTCAGTCGAATTTTTACATCGAATATGTGACGTAAAGATCATGATGCAATTAAATCGATAAGGTACAGAGGTCATGTAAGCACATCCGCTAAGAAAACTTCGATAAGCTCTGCAGACTGGGTTAGATTTCGAGCTATTTACAAAGCTCATACAGAGTTCAAGTTGTAAAAATAAGTAACAAGAGATATATTCAAGAGAAATTAGAGCAACATCTGGAAGTGCTAGGTTCTCTCATTTGGGTCTATTATTTAATTAACCTATTTAATAATTTATATAACCTATTTGTTAATTTATTAACGTTATTCAAATAATGATTATTTCAATAATCTTTTTATTATCACCATGGGGGATCATTCTCTTTGCAGTTGTTGATTCAGTTAGGAACCTTGGAATTTGGTTCAGCTCTGACTTATTATTCGAAAGTTATATTCATGAAATCGTTGCTAAGGTTTATCAAATGCTCGGCTTTTTACTCAGATTTGATAAATATTTTCCGCAATGCGGAATACTTTTTAATTATTATATTTTTTCCTGGCTTAACTCTTCAGCATATAAGTGTTATTTGATCTCTGCATCTGATTAATCAACGTATTTTCAAGATGAACGGGTTCAACGTCGCTTCTTACGGAATTTGAGTTTTATTATTGGACGTTCTATATCCTTTTTCTCTTACACGATTGTAGTATAATACGTGAGGCTTGTATTTCATCTCTGGAGCATAAAGGACTCATTTTGGATTTATTGCTTTTAAACAAAATAATAAGTGGCAATATTGAGTGCCCTAAAATATCTTTCTTTTAGCTTCTGTGTTAACATTACTGTTCTGTTCTGTTCTGTCCTGTTCTGTTCTGTTTTAACATTCCTGGTCGGTACTTAAAAACGGTATTCATTCTTCTTTGTTTATTAGCTTAGAACACTATATAAGGAAAGTTTAAACCTATTAATTGACTAAGTTTACTGACTAATGATTTTTCTAATAGTATCAATTTTTTTCAGATGTTGCAAAATATACTGCCAAGAGAGAGTAAATTAATTGATCTTACAAATATTTAAATAAACTTTACTTTCTTATCTTTTTTGCTCATTTTGTTAATCGCTCCTATAGGTATGCTTGCTTGTTTTTATGTGTATTTATTTTGTACAAAAAGATTTTCCCGTATACTTAAATAAAATAAAATAAATGATCGCGGACTTTGGAAAAGAGGGATGAGAGTCGCTGAAATTAGAGTCGAAGAATCCCCCGTATCTGCTGACGAAAGAATACATATAGATTACGGTACAAATTAGAGTGCGAGCGCTATCGTGCGATACCTGAGCGAGGAATTATCAATAAATTCACGCTCACGACAAGAGATATTAGAAAATCGGAAAGATAAGTGATACGTGTCAGCGATTTCTTTTTAAATGCCTGGCGTGTGTGATATCAGCGTCCTTCGCACGCTTTTAGTCAAACGGCACACACTATATCAACAATTAAATTTGCAATATGACTTGCATGTTAATGCATAATTAAATATACTCGCGATGTATCTAGTAAAGTAACCGCCGCGCGCTGTCCGTGACCTCCGTTATCGCGACGGCGAGCGAAGAAACGAACGACTTTTGCGGCATTGGTGACAAGGAGAGCGCGCGAATTCTAAGATAAATCACGCTATGTGTGTGTTGGCTGTGCAGGAAGAGACCCGGTCCTTTTTGTCGCTCGACACGGAAGGTCGGGTGATCAGGTTGGACTCGTTCTCGAAGGTGATCAGCAGTGGCATCCGCGTGGGCTTCATGACCGCCGCGGCTCCGCTGGTAGCCAGCGTGGAGGTTCACATACAAAGCAGTCACCTCCATACGCCTACCTTATCGCAGGTTGGTAGGACGAACTTTATCCTTTGCCGAGAAACGCATCTCGTCGCGATCCCCAACTTCCCAGTCGCCGATATATAGAGTGCCGGTAACTCACGGAGGACAGGTAGATTAGGTCAAACAGAACAAAATATTTATCCATTTTGCCACATAAAATTAACCACATAAAAGTTTGAGTTATTAAATAAAGAAGATTCGTGAATGATCACGCACCATATGGTAGATGAGTTGTGATGGCGACGTTTACCGTTGTATGCTTGTATATTAGATCAAATTGAACAAAAAGTCCTCTACTATTTTTCAAATGACCATGTAGATGTTTAGTTATTAATTAATGAAGATTTGTGCATTATTGTGCATAATTATACACAATCTTCTTTAATTAATAACTAAATATCTACGTGATCATTTGAAAAATGGTATTTGAAAGAGGATATTTTGTTCAGTTTGACTCCCCAGTAAGCTCTATACATACAGGAGAAAGTCATGGGTTTTACCACCAAACCTATATGCATTCTACTCCTCTGAGTACAATGAGTCTATTTCATTTAACTTCAAGTAGCGCCACTTTCTACACTTCCATATAGAAGAAAACGAATAGATTGTAGCTGATGGCTCATTCCAATATGTAAAGAGCTCATTTGTTTGACTTAATATGTAAGCATACAGCGGCAGATGTCGCCATCATGCTTATCTATCGTATGGCGCGTAATCATTCATGGATCTTCTTTGATTAATAATTTAGAATTTTATATGTTCGTAAAATGATAAATGACTTTTTTATTCAGTTTGATCTGATCTATCTGTACATCGTGGCTCTTCTATAAGTTACTAGAGACTTTATATAACACAGCGCCGCGTCCGTACTGAAATCTTCGTGTCGGGAATGTGATATTGTTTTGGAGATTCGTTGTGCTTTAAATCGTCGATAATTATTTTAAATTATTGCAACTATTTTGAAGTTAATTATGTTAAGTTAAATTATTTTTATTATTTCTAAGAGCCCCCTTCCCTTTAATTATTTTCTCAGACCAAAAGTGCAACAATATTCGGGAATTTATTTAAAGAAAATTACTAAATATGTTTAAAAATAATAATGTAATATATGTAATATAAGTATATTAATATATGCAATGTAAGTAATATATTACTATTATATAGTATATTATATTTACTATTATATTACTAGTATATTATATATACTAGTATAGTATATATTACTATTATATTACTAGTATATTATATTACTATTATATAGAGTATATTATATTTAATATATAGTATAAGTTAAAACTACTCTCCGAGCCCCTGCAATCTTCTTAAGTAACAGGATAACGTAAATAATGTATTAATGACGTATTATTGACATCAGAGACATTATTAATACGTCACATTAAAACGTTATTTGATGTCATTATGTTTGATAGAATGTTTGTTCATACAATTTATGTTTGTTTAATAGTTTAATCAAGAAAATGAGAAATGTTGATTAAAAACAGTGTTGTAGTTATAATCTCTCTCAAGCCAGAACTTTTATTTTCGTTTTAGTTTATTTTACAAAGTAAGACAGAAACAAATTTTAAAAAGTCGTAATTTTTTCTTTAAAATGAGCCAGAAAAAATTCACTTATTTGAAAGTAAAAATTTTAAACTGAGAGGCTACAACTACAATACTATTTCATAAGAGGCTTTTCTTCATTTTTCTGATTGGATTATTATACAAACGTGAGTCATGTAAACCAGAAAAGCTGCAGCTTCGGAGTGGCAAAGATTGCTAACGTCATTCTTATACAAGAAATATAAAATCATTTTTAAGTGTAAATGTAATAATCAATTACGTCTATAAAATTTAAACATATATCCATTTAGTAATTTTCTTTAAAAAAATTCCCAAATATTATTATCTTTCTGATCTCAAAATATTGTAAAATTGCTGTATAATTTGTTTCCTTAAGTCAACAATTATTTTAAATGCTTTGAATTATTTTAAAGTTATTGTAATTCGATGATTTGCCTTTGAAATGTACACTCTTGATTGATTTTAACGTTACTGGAGAAATGAATAACGATAGAAAAACGAATAATTTATCTTAAATAACGTCCAATATAACGAGACAAGGCGTCGCACCGCTGACGTTCATTCTCGCGTAGGCATTGAGAGGCGGAAAGATTATAGCAAACGCACGCACAAAAGGAGCAATAACCGTAAATATTATTCTGCTGAATGACGAAACTTCCTCGTGTCGCATGCATGCATGCATGCCTGCCTCGCGCGCTTAATTATCACTCATATATTAAAACGACATTGGCGCGTGTCGGTTTCTATCGCGACAATAAACACCGAATATCTCGTTATCACGCGACGAAGAGAGAAAGGATAAATACAATCGATTGCCTATGCTCGGCTTTAGGTGATACTGTACAAGCTGTTAAAGATGTGGGGTTACGATGGCATGATGGGACATTACATGAGAATCAGGTGCTTCTACAAGGAGCGAAGGGATGTTCTCGCGGCATTGGCGCGCAAACATTTGAACGGTGGGTATAGATCATCGTTTGAGGTGCCAGACTCAATGATGATCCGCGTGGAATTAAAAGATCTGCTTATTTTGATTTATATTCCATATGAGCTTACTTCAAATTATATTATATGTGACTTGTTTATTTTTAATTATAATCTACGTGAGCTACTCATCTTAAATTATATTAAATAAAAAATTTATATATATATATATATATATATATATATATATATATATATATATATATATATATATATATATATATAGAGAGAGAGAGAGAGGGAGAAAGATTACTTATATTTTTAGAAATAAACTTTATATCCCACAAGTATATAAATTTTCAAATATTTTTTTTCTCAATATATTTTATATGTCACATATATATTTTATATGATTTGCTTATTTTGAATCACGTTCTATATCCTGAAATAATATTATATTCTAAGCTCAGTTTTTCAAAAAGCAAAGTGATTTAGTTGCTCATAAATTAATTTCAGTAGAGAAAAGAAGCGAAAAATTTTGGACAAAAAAATTAACTTGCATTTTTGATGTCGAGGAAATATGTGCAAAACTGTTTTAGAGGTCGATTACTTTAAATCGTCAATAATTATTTTAAAAAATTATATTTATTATTATATAGATTTTTAATTGTCGCAATAATAAAAGAATTATGTATATTATTATATAGCTTTTTCAAAAACTCGATGTCGTCACATAGAATCTCTCGCTTGCTCGTGCAGTGATCGTAAATTGAAACATAAGTCAAAAAATAGAAAGAGTCGCGGATTAATTTACAGGTCTGGTGGACTTCAACTTACCAAAAGGCGGTTTCTTTCTATGGATTAAAGTGCGCGGTATCAAGGACACGTGGAAGATGATGATGCAACGCGGTGTCAAAGAGGGTGTTATTATGGCACCGGGGGCCGCGTTCATGAAGGATCCTACGAAACCCTGCAACGCCATCAGGGCGAGTTTCGCCAAAGTTTCTTATGAAGAAATGGATCTGGTACTTATAATAATTTTTCTTAAATATCCTAAGTTCTTAAATATCGTTTTGTTTTTACATTAAAAAAAAGTATTTGAAAATTTATTTGTATAAGATTTGTACAAGATTTGTTTCTTCTCATAGAGAAATAAACTTTATTTCACAGAAATAAATTTTGGTCCTCAAAAATAAATTTTATAACCCACAAATAAATTTTCAAGTATTTTTCTCAGTGCAGTATACGAATAAGTATTAACTATGATTAATTATCGTAATAGAGTTTAAAGAGACGTATATGTGTTCAAGACAAGAAAGATATTTTAATCGATATTTATTGTTAGTTAGCAATTATTCAGTTAGTGAGAAAAATTCAAATATCTCGAAAGGACGCATGCCATTTTAAATTTCAGTGACTTATAGTATTATTATTTTTTATTTTTGTCGACAATATCTTGTTTTTTATTTCTTTCTATTGATAACAATCGACACGCGACAACTATTCCATCGACAATGACTAAAGTTGGATCGAATATCGTACGGTGATATCGTCGCCGGAATATCGTCACTGCCGTTGAATCATCAAACTAAATGATAATAGATAACGTCGTGTTTCAGGCGATGGAGCGATTGGCGCAATTGATCAGAGCAGAGTTAACCGAGAATTATACGATCGTGAACGTGGACACGCGATAACGCAGTTATCGTCCTACAGGATGCAGTCGATGCACGACTGCGCAGGATGCAATCGATATCGAGAGAAGGACAAAGTTCAGTCGGTACTAAATAAGGGTGGAGGGATGAAAAGCTATTACTACTAGGATAAATTGCATGAAATGACAAGAAGAAGAATGTACCAGATGTCGATAGAATCACGTGAACTGTATAAGATGAAATAAAATATGTACAATATGGTGCAGAGAAAAATTTGATTGTATTAACGTGAAGTTGTAATGAACGAACTGATGCATTTGGCTGAAGAACTTATGAAGTTTAGAATTTGAATTTTAAAAACCATAAATTATAGTCTGAGATGTCCTTTAACCAAAACGCATTGGTTCGTTCGTTAAAACCAAATTTCACGGTAACACAATTAATTTTTTTTCTTCGTGTGCTTTTGGATAAGTGATGAGCGATGTTGAGGAGAAGAATCGACGTCCAAATAATTGTTTCTGTAAACATCGGACATTGGACGAATAAGCTTTAATGGTCGTTTTATAATAATTAATATCTAATAAATTATTGATAATCATATATCGTTTACTAATAGAACCGCACGATAAAGAACGGACGCGGCACAATCGATTCATCTCCCGTTAGATATTTATCATATTAAGAAAAAAATATTTGAAAATTTATTTGTAGGATATATAATAAAGCTTATATAATAAAGCACAGAGGAATAAATCTTATATTTCACAAATATTTTTTAAATATTTTTCTTAATGTAATTTAAGCGTCGTTATTTTTCATTGTACCGTTTATTACGCATATACTTGGTTCGAATCGCTTACGAAGCTTGTTCGAATTTACTCTCTCTCTCTCACACTCTCTCTCTCTCTCTCTCTCTCTCTCTCATATAATTCAACAGACTTTCATTTCTCAGTAAGATAAATGTACCAATGCCCGGACATGTACCTATCTCCGGACATTGTTATTATTTTTATATTTGAATATGAATATTTCAACTTTCAACGTACAATACATATATATTGATATACATACATTTAATATTTATATTTAATGTACGTTGAAAGATGAAATATTTAGAGAAATATTCAAAATAATAAGAATGTCCGGAATTAGGTACATATCCGGGCATTGATACATTTACCTTAGTAGCAGAGAGAAGTATGAGAACGGCCACCAGCCTGATTTCAATGGCCAGAGCTAGGCGCTAAAGTCACTATATATAAAGTACCGCAATCCGTGGTTACGACGTTGGAATAAAAATGGCGTCAGACATGTACTTAGTGTAAACGTATAACTTATCTACACATTAAGTGCAATTCTATTAAGTAGCTGTTAGGTTAGATATTAAAACCAAGTATGTTGACGAAGTATGTGTATGAAAAAGGATACGTATGTTATTATACACAACTACGGAAGTATAAGGACAACTATTGCTTTTTCCAACCACCGATGTATTTAATATAATGTATAAGTGCGAATTATCATTTCGACAAAATGAAGGAAATCTACTATCAAATGCGTTGACGGTTACCGAATTTGTTGACGTATTTTTAGACAGTTATCCAACGTTATTTTGTTATGCCATATTCTAATGCGCAAATTGATAAAACTTGTTGTTATAGCACGAATTCATTTTTCGTAAAAAAAAACACTATATTAACGAGGCAAATGCAAATAACAGTCGCAGTGTCGCTATGGAATTGTGTTACAAATGTTAAATGTTATATAAATAAAAAAAGAGTGATAAACGTTATTTATTGTTTTCCTCTACTTTACGCAATATATTCATACAAATTTAGACATTTTGAATCAACCGCGTGTGGTTGGAATAAACATGGCGGATGATTGCGGTCATATATGTAATACTACTATATGGACAGCGGAGAAATTTTCCTATAAGCGAGAGTGAAACAAATGAAATTGAAGGATAAAAGATAGACAGTTATTGACTCCATAGAAGAGAGTGGGGAAGTGTTCTATGATCGCAATGCGTAAACGTGGCGACAAAATGTAAACAGATTTATTAAAAAAAATGAGTAATTGATAATTAATAAGAAAAATAAATATGGAAAGTGTCTATAATAGTCTACAATTTATATAATTTATATAAGAGTAATAATAGAATCTCTACTAGATACTAAAATCACTAGATATATAAAGTATTGCAATTTGTGGTTATGACGTTGGAATAAAAATGGCGTCGGAAGTGTACCTAATGCAAACGTGTAATCTACACATTAAGTGCAATTCTATAAAGTAGCTGTTGAAATAGCTGTTTATTATGTGTTACAAATGTTAAATGTTATACAAATAAAAAAGTGATAAGAGTTATTTATTGTTTTTTTTCTACTTTACGCAATATATTCATACAGATATAGACGTTCTGAATCAACACGTGTGGCTGGAATAAACATGGCGGATAATTGCAGTACCTTATATATCTAGTGACTTTACTAAACACATTTTCAGGGCGCCATCTAACAAAGTGCGCCTTTACTACGTTTGTTAGGCGCATTTTCGCGATGGTAACGATAAAATGCGTCTGGATCGTGTCTGTTATACCTCCGTACAATGATAGTAAGTTAGAAAAGGACAGACGTCCAATCACTCTGTTCTTGCCTCACCACTGACGAGCAGATTACGCGACATAGACACAAAGCGAGCTAGCGGCGAACTTATCGAAAAGTTAGATCATCTCTCATCAGTTTCGTTTTTCTCACGCTGCGTAATTTTGTACCCAATGAGAAATAACTTACCAATCGACGTCTTTTCGATAAGTCATTTCTTACTGGGTAAGGAAAAAAGATTTGGAAACTGGACAATATGAAACAATAAATATATAAGTTTAAAAATGCCGCTCATATTTTTTGCTTATTTCTTGGCAGCCATAAAAAATATCGATATGATTCAAAGAAAACTATGTTCTGTCTATAATTTATCCATTGGAGAATTTAAAGTTTACAATAATACTAATAATATTAATGCTATAATAATGCTATTAATAACGGTTCGTTCAAGCCGTGGAAGCATGCGTACTTTTCGACGTCGCTGACAGTCATTTTAATACCGATTGCATTTTTCGGGCATTTTTCGGCAACCACTAAAGATATTAAGGTGACTCAAAGAATACTATCTGCCTCAAAATTCATCTAATTGGAATTTGTAATTTATAATAATACGAATAATACCGGAGACCAAACTCTCGGCTCAAATCTCGGCTTAATAATTTAGCGGCAAAATTTGATGAGATATGGTGAGATATAGTGAATCCAATGCGATATTTGAAAAATGGGATATTGGAAAATTATTTTCAAAATTCTGGGCGTGTTACTGAGGGAGTAGAATAACATTAACACACATTGTCATCCAAGACACGATGCAAAGCAAAATACGCACACGTCATGTTATTTTCGAAAATATATTTTTGCAAACGTAAAAATTACATTAAAAAACTGTAAAATATTATCCCAGAATGTGCTCTGGATACTAACACTATGTGACCTAAAAACATAAATAACCAGCACTAACATGATCGACTTTTGGCCCATGTCCGAGAATTCGACATTCCTACAACGCTAAGTTGGATCTAACGTTGTGAACGCGGTTTTTGGCTATTGGAAAATTATTATCAAGATACTGAGCGTATTACTGAAGATATAGAGTGACATTGACGCACAAGAGACGATGCAGAGCGAAATACGAACACTCCAAGTAATTTTCGAAAATACACCTTTGCAAACGCCAAAATTTCTTTAAAAAACTTTAAAACATTATCTGGGTTACTAAGTCGGCTTAATAATTTAGCGGAGTCTCAAAATATATCGAATGTCGTACATATTCGAAACTCGGCTTAATGGTTTAGCGGAATCTCAAAACACTCAGATTCGGATTTCGGCTTAATAATTTAGTGGGAAATCGAAGCATTTTGGTTCAAGTCTCGGCTTAATAGTTTAATTTATCAAAAATATTCTTTAATTTGTCAAAATTTATTTTGTCGTCTTGTCAACAACAAACGCGTATGCATATGAAGGTATCTCGAAAGAGATAGTATGTCGTATATAATACGACGTAAGTTATAAAGTATAATAATCACAATAGAGCATATATATACAGGGTATATATAAAACATATATAAATCATAAAACAAGCATATAAAACATATAAAAAGCATATAAATATGACATGTTGAAATATATCAATTTAATATATCATCAAGAAATAATCCAACAAGAAGCAAGTTTACCGAGTCGAAATTTCAATTGACCATTGTTATGCAAGAATGATCCAACTAAAAAAATCATAAGTTTTTATCAATGGATACTCCATTTACATATTTTTAAACCAAACAAAAAAAATTGAAGATAGATATAGATGCTTCAAATGAGTTAAGAAACAGTTTATTCATTTTTTATCAGTCGCGTCATTCTTAACATTTTTCTAAGGATTGAGCTAGTCAGCAGTACTCTTAAAGAAATGGCAATGCTTGACTCGTTGAACTATTGCAAAAATCGGAGCTAAATTTTTAGTTGGATCATTTTTACGTAACTTCGACGAATTACAAATTCCAATCCTTACTTTACTTCTTGTCGGATCCAATGCGATTTACATCTACGTGCATGCAATCTACGTAAAGTGACGCTTTGTGTCTACTATATGAGCGTCTAAATTGAGCACTCACCATTGCGCGTCGTCCCACGGTGTTCAGAGTCCACCAGCCATCCTGTCGCTGCATCTCACACTGCAATGGTTCTCACATCCCACGTCGCCTGTAATTCACTCCCGACCGCGTTAATCTAACGGAGGTTTTACGAAAAATCCCATCTCTTTTGGGAGATACACTCCGAGTTGCGAATTGCGTGTGAAATATCGCGAACTGCGTCTTAGAGGAAATGTCGGCCTTTCGGATAAACGACGAGTATATACGACGATTCAGCAACAGTCCGATCGAGTTGTAGTGTATCGCTTTAAAACACGCGCGAAGCGAATCGATGGCCTATCTCGCGAATTCTTTCGACGCCTAAGCGAAGTAATCGCGCGAGATTCTCACATACGACACGGAGTATCCCTAATGTAACGTTTCGATGTAGCAGCGTAGTAGGCTGCAATACAGTTCCGCAATATTTTTGCGGATAACAGCTCCGCAATACTTTTGCGAAGACAATTCCGCAATGCTTTTTGCAGATAAAAGCTCTGCAATATATCTACAAAGTTTGCTCTCGACTTTTCCGCAAATACGGAGCGATAAAATTCGCAAATATATCAAAACGCATAATCGCAACCGCGAGCGTAAATGGAAAATCGAAAACTATGAAAATTGCGATGATAAAGACAAAGATTTATTCAAAATTTACACGAAAAAACTGTTACCGCATGAGACGCCTGTCTTTGTTCTCGATCGAACTCGTCGTACGTCGCATAAATAACAAACAACTACTCGCATGTCTGATCTGTATACATTGCGTTTTTCGCGAGGAATCAACGCTCGCTAGCATTGTCCCTATGTTAGGAAACTCTAAGTGAAAAATTTAAACCTGAAAATTTTCCGACGATCATAAAATTAATTTTGCGAGCAGTTTATATAATCACATTAGATCGCTACGCGCAGATGCTGCACGATATCGAATTTTACTTAATAACGAAGCACGAACTCTATTAAATACAATCGCGATTCAAGCTCACACGAGAAAGAAAATTGAAAAAATTAACGACCGGCAGAATCTATCTATGACGCGGTTGATGTATTTGCACATTTTCTGTTGCGCAATATCTGTGGCGCAATCTCTCTGCGCATTGGTGCACTACTTGAGACACCTGGACGATCGCATTCAATTAAACTGAATAATTTTATACAATTTTGAGTATTCAAAGTGGAAATATATTCGATTTTATGAGTATCTGCCAGACAGTGTTGGGATTTGATCAATCAAAATTTCATCGGACAAAAATCGTTAACCATTCGATAATCTAAGTTAATCATTTAATTAATAAAAATATGTACATTGGGAAAAAAATTCTTGAAAATTTATTTGCCAAATTTATGTAAAATATGCATTATCACTAATATTATTATTTGAAAAAGCGATTTTCCAATTGTTTCGAGCAGTGTGTTTTTTATTGGACGGCACATACACATACTAACACTACAACAAAGTAAATCGCTTTGATTCAATAAGCATACGCTACATCGAAAGACTTTTTGTCTTTCTATTATCAATATGTTTTTTGTTTTGACTTACCAAACCGCCAATCAGGATAGCCACATTCTGCTTCTATTTCTGAAACAGAATAATGCCATTTCACCGATTAGATTCGTGCATTGATATCGATTTGAGTAAAGAAGTTTGAAAGATTAAAAAAAAAATAAGCGCGATATTTTTCACGTTGGAAGAATTTTTCGGAATGCATTCACACTTGGAATATTCCATTTTCCTTTTCCTTGACGTTGCAAGTAAATCTCTTAAATAGAGCAAATCAAAATTTTTCAAGTGGTGATGTTACTCAGAAAAAATCTTCCCCGCATGTAATTACGATTTAACGCGACTTTTGATTCGATTCAAACTATCTTGATTTCGAACAAGATAATTATCAATCTCGTCGGATTTCTAATTACAAATGCCAATTAATAAAGCTCACCTTCGAGCTAACCCCGCTCGGCCCGAGCCGGATCCTCCGGCGCAGCAGCATCTGACAGTCGGTTGGTCGTCTGCTTCGTCTCTGTAACAGAAAATAGATTTAATTTAATATTTCACACGACAATGGATTAAGGCATTAAGGAACTCGATTTCAAACAAGAGAATTTCCAGTTTTATCGGATTTATCAGAATTAAGAATTCAAATTAGTGAAACTCACCTTCGCGCCAACTCTGCCAGGCCCGAGCCGGATCCTCCGGCGCAGTATCCCCTAGAGCCGCGTGACTGCGTCTACTCTATTGGA